TTACACTGACCAATGAGAATGCACCACGAATGAAAACCACTTCCAATGTATATGCCATTCTTTGTTTAACTGAAATAATATGTGGTCCCACTGATACTTTAAACCTGTAATTCTATGCATGCCTATCCAAATGCAACTCACAATGGTTTCAGTCAGGCTTACTCTTGGGGAGCATCCAGAGTACTGGCCTTAAATGGGGGACTCTGCTTTTCAGACAAATCTGCATCAGGTAGATAAGAATTATGAGCCACTCAAAAGGTTGTTCTGCGATATTGCCAATCCTGACAGACCAGCTTTTCCTAATGTGGTGTCCTCCAAATGAGTTGGAATTCAACTCCCATTGCCCCAGACAGCATGGCCTGTGGTCAGGAATTCTGTGCATTTTAGTCCAAAACTTCTGGAAGATACCAGGTTGGAAAAAGCCGAGATGAACCAAGAAAACATTGTCTGGACATCTTCGTTCTTGTCAGGATAAACATAATGTTCATAGGTTCAAACTGAACTGCAAAATGAATTATTTTAGGGGTCACCCGTCTCATTGTATGAGAAATTCACCAGTCTAGCAAGTATTAGTTTTACCTTTACAAACACAAAAAATATGTGGAAAATAATGAACCCATAATGTGAAACCTCCTGGCTCACAACACACACCAGTATATATATTGTTGCCAAATGGCATCCATCCATCCATCTCTAGTTAAAATTAAATCTGGCATGGTTTTGCTGTTTAGTAAAATAAAAGATGGAAACAATTTAAAGGGGCATGATCTATATCATATACGACTAAAGATGTTATTAAACTTTGCCTTGTCAGGTGGAAGCTGCTAAAATAATCACTGTCCTAGTTAACACTTGTTGTCTTGGCCATTAAACAGACTCAAGCATTAAACAGACTTGATCCTTATCCCAATTAAACTAATTTGTGACCCTTGGCAAGATACTTCTAAATGTTACATTTAGCCAAAAAAAGTTCAAATGGAACATTAAAAGAAAAGAGTAACTAAACAGCAGTTAATAGCTATTTACTGTAATACTCTGTGTAAACACTTGCTCCACAACTTTGAAATCTAGAAACACAAAAGCAAGAAGTAATTCATTTAATCAGTTTTGGAATTTATACAAATTTCAGATGTTTAACGTAAGAAATATTTTACATCACCCAAAGGCAGGAAATTTTAACACTTATTTCCTTTTTAGAATCATAATTGTCCTTACCTGATTTTTGGCACTGAACTATTTTTTCATATACATTATCTGCATTTTCTATCACAGTCTTGATAGCATGTATCATCTGTAAAAACAGAGTAACTTGTTTAAATATACAAATGAACATATACAATCAGGAGTCAGACCCCCGATCTATCCAGCCCGCTACTCAGAGTGTAGTATAAGTGGTTTTTATTTATACTTTTTTTATATACAAAAAAAAATTTCTAGTCATCCTGCTGTCAGATCATCTATCAATGTGCAAGTCTGTGTAATAATTATTTCCTGAATATAAAGGCTATATACTATGTTTTGCATGTGTGTGTGCACACATGCGTGCACAGGAGAGAGAGAGAGAGTGAGCACGTGCATGAGTAAGCATTCAAATTTTTAAAACAGATTGGCCCTGTGTGTGTGTGTGTGTGTGTGTGTTCATGGAAATCTAAGTCTGAATCTTGCTGACAATTTCTTGCCAGGATAGAAAGCTATCAACATTCCTCTTAAAGTCAAGTAAACAGGGTGTGAGGTCACCAATCAATTTTCTAGCAAATGAAAAGGAGGTCAGGTAGAGCAAAGACATAGTTTTAATTGAAGAAGTGGAGAGAGGCCACAGCACTGCAAGAAGTGCCTCAGAGCCAAGTGAGAGAAACTTTATATAGCCACACAGAACCCACACCCAGAGATGCGCAAGGTGGCAAACTGTGACCAGTGCCCGAAAGACAGGAGCAGATGGCCTGTCGCACTCTATTTTACAGCAGGGTGTAAAATGCCATCTACAGTTTAGCTGTGGTTTATTTAAAATACTGCCTTTAATAGTAAACTATTATGATGATGATTATCATTATGTTCATGGTATTTAGTACTGGCAGAATACAGGGATTAGTGCTCAATAGTGTAAAAAAAGTCATACATTTTATAAATAATGTACAGAAGGAAAAAGATTTAGAAAATAAGATTTAAAAAATAAGAACACTACCTAAATATTATTTTATGTAATGTTTTATTAATATTTTGTTGAGCTCACCAATTCATTCAGGTTTTAACATGGACTTACAAAGCTACCAAGTTAAAGAACCAAGTTCTGTAAGTTAGTTTTGTAATTAAATTTCACTACAATAGTTCTCAATACAGCATTATGTCAGTCTATAGCTTTATTTCCCAGTTTGATCACCATAAACTTAACTTCAAAATCCACATTTCCCCAATTACATAAAATCCAAGTGTAATCCCCCATATTCATTCTGCTTTGAAATTTACTTATTTCTTCACTGTCTCTTCCAAGATTCTTGGAGCACATTCAAAATGCTTTGGTCCTTTACACCCATTCACTGATGTCACTTTACCTTTGCTGGCGTCTTGCTGCTTCACCTCAAAACTACTCTATGTACTGCTCCAAACCCAACAGAACAGGTTGCAAATTTTCTGGACTGATCTGGTCCCCTTTCTTTCTAATCCCATGGCACAGCACAGATCTGAAAAGCGTTCGTGAAGTATGCATGTAGCCTCCTTTAAGCATCATATGCTATACCCTGCTCCCACAGCCTCATGGATTTAAATGCTCATTAATTAATTCATCCATCTGTGTATGTCATCACCCATGCCGGTATCACTGAACCTTGAGGCTAAGAGAAGTAACCATTAGCTGTCCTAAAGGTCTACTTACTAGCACTACTTAATTATCACGTCCATATTGCACATCTTAGAGCTGTACATTTTTAGGGCTTGGATCAAACACACCATGGAAGAAGCAAACAACAAATAACCTTTCCTGATAATAGAACAATAATTGCATGTATTCTGACCCAGCTGAATAACAAGAGTGGGATTTTCCAAATGTGTTCGCTGGAACACTTCAGCATATCATCCCAAAACTTTTGCATGGATACATTATCTGCAAAGTGGTATAATATGGATGTGGGTGTGCACAAGATCAACTGGTGCAGCTGAAAAGATTTTTATTAAAAACATTTATCTGCTACAGCAACAGCTTTAAGAATAGGTACTGCTCCATCTTTCCTTAGTCTTGGTAGTTTTCTTCCCAGCTAAGAATTCATAGTGCTACGTAACCCAAACATTCAACGGACTGTAAAGTTACTGAAACCTGTGACAGTGTGAGGAAAAAAAACCTTTCCTGCACTTAAAATAATGTGCTTTGTTTTAAAACACTTTCTGAAAATAGCAATATTGAAAAATATTAGCAAACATTTGTAAATAACTTGGTATCAAAAGACCCTTCTGACTGCTGGGTATCATGCTAACTATATCTCATTTGCAAAACCATTTTCATTTGCCTCATTTTACTGACAGCAATTGCAGAGTTTCAGTAACTCTGCAAACCAACTTATTTTTAGAACTAGGACCAGGAAATCATACTTAACAGCAATGTTCACCGAAAATGGGTTTGAAAAAGGTTGATTTTTCCTTAGGCAAATTTGTAACTGAACGCAAACTGGAAATCTTTCTGCTGCAGGGCTTCAGGCTAACAGAGAAAGGAAACAGGAGAAGGAAGAAATTACATCCAATTCTGTGGCCTGTACCCCACCCCCCCACTTTCTCAGTGATATATTGGAAGAGGGATGGAAACAGGCACATGCCTGAGAAGACACTCCATTCTTCTATGATCATGTGCATCTTTCACCACTTCCTTGCTCTTTTGGGTGGTAAAGCAGAGTGGTAGATGTACCTCTCAGATGCCACTTGTATCCTCAGCCTTAAAATGAATCACAGCTACCAGCAAGGGATGCAGAAAAACCATCATGTTTACTCTGATATGGTGCTATAATTTCTGCCAGATTGAAAGTTATCATAAATTTCCACTTTTACTCAGCATGTTTATAAGCAATATTTGGATTAAAATGCTACAAAATCCTAAATGATCCAGACCTTTAAGTCCATCAAGTTCATGAAAGCTACAGTGTTGATGCCTGAATACATTATGGACCATTCAATCAGATACATATAGCCCTTGCAGCAAATTAAACTAGGCACCCAACAATAAAGACAAGGTTCAAGTACAGTATAAACATCTCATTAACATCTAAATTCAACAGAGAGTCAAGAAGTGGAAAAGTGACATGTAATACTGCAATTCTTGATTCTAAAAGTGAACTTAGCCCTGCAGACACACTGGACTTAGGAAAGCTGGTTTTAATAAGCACAAAGAAATGCTAGGCAAGATTCCACAACAGTGCAGAAGTCCAAGAAGGGTGACAGTTCCTGAAAAACTGGCAGTATCGCAAACAATTCCAATGAGCAAGAAAATTGAGAAACGTCTAATAAAGTGGCTGCACAAAATGTTTAGTGATGAGTTAGAAATAAAAAGTGATGTCTATACAAAAGGAAACAGATTATTCAGTACAGACGGAGACTTCTACGACACTATCAAGAAGAAGTAAGGCTGGATTTGTCATGGGACAGGGGATTGGACTAGTTGGCCCATGAGGCTACCTCCAAACTAAAAAAACAAAACACTAAACTGTCAGTCCTGCACACTCACAGTTGGGACTTTTGCACACAAAGTTGGTACAACCAAATAGACACAAAAGCACTTGTCAGACATGGCAAGCAATCCACGTAGGAACAAGAACTTTGCCTTGTATGAAATTAGGCCTTCCAGCTCAGTGCTAACTAATCACACTAACTGGCTGTGAGTCCAGGGCTTTGGACAGGAGTCCTTCTGCATGCACAATATCTACCCTAGCACTGAGCATTTCAGCTGGTGTAAAACAGCATGAAAAACCTGGTGATTTGTTCACGTTTCAGTGGCCTTGCTCCTAAATATTTGGATACTGAATTGTAGGCATGCCTGCTCTACACTTTGGTTTTAGTTCACTGTGTGAGTGTACGTGGTGGGAGAGAAGTCCAATGTACACAGAACTGTATTCACCCAGGATGTTCTTTGGACACACTGCATTAGCCAAGTAGGTCAGCCTAAGTGGTCTGGTAGGTGTGAGGGAGCTACATTAACACCCAGTATTGAAAGCAGAAACATTAAGCCTTTTCTTAGTGATTCTTGCAATAGCCCATGCATTAACACACCTATTTTTTATCACCCTATGCCATTGCCCTTTAATTTTTATGACAAATAAAATTGATAGTGGATTTATTCTTTTTGCTTTTCTGCAAGCACAACAGGAGCCCAAACTGGAAGAGAAACCATCTCCTCACAGTTACACAAAAGATGGTGTCCTACATTTCCACCACATATTGACCACTTCTATTATGTGTTGTTTGAAAAAAGTTATAGGTGAATCTAAACAGGTCTACATCAACTATTTGCTTTGGTTGAATTCATGCAGCTCTGCTTCGATGTTATGCAAAACTTGTGACTGACCTTCTAAGAAAACATATTTGACATTCTGAGGAAACACAAAGGCATACTTTCAACAATATGTGAACTGGCCCATCCAAAAATATGAGAACTACAACAGGACCTAGAAATCAGGCAGCCCTAACGAGAATAAGATGGTAAGAGTTAGGAAGGCATACACAGGTTGAGTGGGTTGAGTGAAGCAGGAAGGCAGAGAGGAAGCTCTGACCTAATGATAAAACTGAACTGGAGCTGGGAATTAACAAGTCTTTTGTCAGCTCTATTGCGCTGTTCATGTAAAATAAAACACACTTGTTCTGTGGACCTAGACACCATTTTTTCAGACGTGGGGCTCATCTGGGCACAAATGTAAAGTGTTATAAGGAGCTAGACCTCAGGATCTGTTTATCTATGCAAACACTGAGTATGGGAAAATGATGCTGACCAGTTGAAAAATCCCCCAAACCAAATAGCAATAGTATATTTTTCATTTTTATACCATCCCAACAACTAAAGTTTTCTGGACCATTTACAAAAATCTGAGAACTGTCATGGGGAACAGAAGCCATTTATATAGACTGGTGCTTCATAAGTAATTCATGTGTTTATAGAGATCAAAATGAGATGAGAATGGCCAAAGATCTATTTACTTTACTTTGTGCATCTCAAGCTTTGGCACTTACTTTATTCATCTCAAGTTTTGGCACATTTCAGAATACTAGTCTTCCAAGAAGTTGTCATCTGCCACACGAAAATATTATGGATATATGCCTCAATCCATTTGCCTGGGGAAAGACCCATTGATCTTATACTTACTGTGTGGTAAGTGTATTGTGATTTGTAGACTCTATATTACGTTAGTAACAATGGGTAAAATGTATCAAGAAAACTTGAAAGTGACTGCCTATCAACTTCATTCGTATAAAAAATGATTTCACCAGTAACTTCCAGGGTTGGTAAAGTACAAGCCTTCAGTTAAGAGAAGCTGTTTATGCCAACTTCAGTGGCAGCTCATAAAGAAAAGAACCTGCAAACACGACAGCAATCAATAGTAACCTCATTACAGACCAGCTGTGGTTAGGCCTAGATAGTCAAAGCAGATTTATAATGAAGTGTAATTGATCTTTCCACTGCTTTAAGTGCTGTCTAAAATTACCAGTGTAAGACAGCAAAGCTTCTGGGTGTTACTTATGTTTATAATTAAATACTTTCCCCCCATATTCCACCATTTGGGCAAGGTCTAAGAGGATGACATTTCTAATGCATTTGAAGACTATGTATACCAGCTTTCCTCAAACTGATGCCCTTCAGATGTGCTGGACTTCAACTCGTAGCATCTCCCAGCCAGATGGAACCAGGTAGACTGAAACATACCATATGGTTTTTCATAGATATAAATCACAGTTTTAAACCAGAAGTTTAGAACTAGTTTCAAGTTCTTTGAATGTTCTGGACTGCACAAGTCCAGCCAGATTCAAGGCAGAGCCTACAAAGGCCATTCTGATTTCAGTGAAGCAGCCTAACAGCAAGTTTCTTACTTCAATTATTTAAAGATGCCATAGCAAACTTGCTACATTTTCTCACAATCCTTGCTTTTCTTCTTCTATATCATGCATTTAGTTTATGGAAGCTTCAGCTGGAGGGCTATGTTTTAATATATTTTCAAAGAAATGCAGGATCGTGCATGAGGTCTTGCACCATGATGAGAAAGAGGTATAACCATTGTATAATAATTATGTTTTCTTACAAAGAAACAAGGATTGCAATTGCTTTATACCAGGAACTGAACATGTATCTGATATGGGTTTGGAATGGGGCATGTTCTCAAATCCAGTTTGGTTACACTCAGCTCTTTCCCAGATTTGATTGCATGATTTTAATTGATTCCAGATTTGCCAAAACCATTCTACCATTCAACTAGTTTTCAAAAAAGTACACCAAACCAGGAACCCTAATTTTATTTAGAGAATGATATGTAGGGCAATATCATTTTACATTCTAAATTTCTACAATCACAAATAATTTGCATTCAGCTCAGTGTAATAGCAATGTCTGATTCTATGGCCCATGTATCCAGCACTTCCCCACTATTAAGGCATCCCAGTCAGAAATTATTTGCCAGTGTTCCACTAGTCCAGGTTTCAAGAGCCTGAGACAAATACACAAATGCTACTGAATGATTTCTATACTACAACACATATTAAAAATTGTAGAGAAATATGTTATTGTTCATAGTTCTATGGGTAAGCGTATAATCAACTATCTAGAAGCATTTTAATGAACTTAAATGTTTGGTCACCTGACACAAATTTGTTAATAATTATACATTTCTCCTATGCTACAGCCCACATTCTGCTTCAATATCCTGTAGTATGTCTTTTCTCTTTTTAAATTTATTCTAGTAATAATTTGGTCTGGAGGTGATGGTGGTTGTTTTGACTGAAGATAATCTCACCCTTTTATAGCTAATTCAGCAGACATACTGAATCCTCTAGTTACCCAGTAAAGAAAGAGCTTTCTCTCCTCCAAATTAAAAGCGAACAAGAGCATTGAGCATTTCCACTAGCACTGAAAGGGTTTAGTTTTGTTTTTATTGCCATAGAGCTATTTCTGAGAAAGAAAAATTAAATATGAAATCAATGTATTTAGTGAAGAATGACTGATCCTGCATTAGTTATATGTTTGAGAACATCCATGCTAGCCATGAGGTATATACCAAATGGAACAACAAAGTAAACCAGAGATAGCCTTTGCACTTAATATGGTAACCAAGGTTTGTTTAAAAAAAACATTCCATAAGGAAATGCCTGTTCTTCTACCTGTTAACACAGAAAAAACTGCACACAAGTGCATAAGCGGGTATCAAAAACAAAAATGAGAGTTTATATTTTCTTATTAAGATACTTAATAAGGTAATTTGAGAATACTTGTCAGTATAATTTACTAGTAAATATCAATACACCTGCAAAACAGTATTTCTTACCACCTGAAGTTTTCCTTGACTACTTCATATAGGTCATTGTACCATTTTCCCCATGCTTTTTAACTGAATCTGAACTTCTACCTCCTTTTACAGATCCATGTTTCACTTTGCCCATGCCTGCCAGGAAAATATATATCTAATAATTCACAAGCAATTTCAAGAATTAAGTTTCTAGCCCCCACCCAAATATTTGCTAAACAGAGTCCAGAGCTGAAAGTGATTGTTTGTTTGCATATTTTAAAAACAATCTAATCATTATGTTTGCAAAGTAGTGGTTTGCCAAATAGCAGTTTGTGTTTTTTTATATAAATGCTGGATATTTTAACATGTTTATAAAATCCAGCTTATTGCCATGTAATGAAATAACTATTTGTACCATATGCAAGATATTTACATTTTGATACATTTAAGAATATATAAAAGTTTTTCAAACCATATAAAAGGTATTAAGCTTGCAAAAGTAGCTACAAAAATGGATTTGAACCTTATGATTCATCACAGGTTTCAAAAGAGAGTGTAAATTATTTATATTTCAGATTCTGTTCATAAAGCTAAGAATTTTAAAAATAACGTAATATGTAATTTTTCTCTTAAATTAAGAAACACCTGAAGCTTAACCAGTACAAAAGTGCAAGGAATACAATTATTGACTTGATTAAAGTCACAGCTTTTGTTAATCTCTACAATTTCAGTTCCTCTGAAAAACCTAAAATAGCATTGTTCCCCCCCCTTCCCCGCTCCATACAGATACACAGCTACACACTCAACTTCGCATCACTGTAATAACTTGATTAGGCCAATTCAAATCCTGCACAGTACTTTATGGACTTTGAATTGGCTCAATAAATGTATTATGACTCCATGGACTGTGAAAACCTTCTTGAATCCTGTTTCTTCATAAGAATGATCTTCAAGAATAACTTGTTGGCAACACAGGAGTGGGGAAGAACAGTACAGAAAGATGCTGCAGAATTGATTGACATTTTGAATGATGATATTGTTTAAAAACAGTTTTCAAAGTGAAAAGAGACGAAGGACCACTTACCGTTTCATATGCTGTTACAATTTTTTTCAAGACTTCTGGAACAATCCCTTGTAATTCCATCGAGGGATATTGATCACTGAGATTCACTACTACCAAGGGTGTATTATCAGATCTCACCAAGCGTGCAGATACTGCCAGAATGCACTGCATGAGGTTTGCTACAGGAGAGAGGCCACACAGCTCTTTGAATAAAACTACTGCATTCTGTTAAAAATAAAAACAAAAAGTTACATTTCACTGATGCATAGTTTGAATCTCTAACTATGCAGCCTTACAGACTTGAAATTCATGGTATAATGTTGTCGTTACAGCAGGTAAGTAATTAGTTATATACAGCTATACCCTGGAGAACTGGCAGCTTTCCAAAGCCAGCAGTGCCATATCTGCTGTATTTATCAAGAATATTAAATGTGCAAACAGAATATTAATATCAAGAATATTAAATGTGCAAACAGACTTTAAAATGCCTCTATAGAAAATTATTTCAATTTTTAGCTGCAATTGACACTAATTGTTTCCCATGTCAACTGCCAAAGTAATTCATATTGTTGTGACTTCAAAGGCATGCTCTCTATTTTAAAACATTTCAGTCTTCAAAGCTGTCAGGGAACATTTCTATGGCAAAAGGTTTAAATGATCATGGTTCATTCACATATGTCCATTATCAGTTACTGATAATGTTTGGTACTGGTTACTGGTAATGTTTCGATTGGGACTTTATTTCAGCTAATTCTTCAAACTTGAATGCAATGTTTTGCTGCTATGTATGATCATAGGTAATTAAGAGATCCCTTTGAAAGATTTGCTATTAGTGCATGAGGGTCAGGAGAAAGAATCCCTGGGACAGGAGGGGGGAGACTGCATTCCATTGCAAAGCCTCTGAATATTTTCAGATACGAGATGTTTGGAAGCATGTTTTAAAGTTTTCCCTATGTTGTTAAGCCTTTCTCCAACACTGGTTCACACATGTCAGTTCATCCAGTAATGGCTTCAGCATCAAGTGGTGACTTGCATATATGAAAAATCATGTATCAGAAACACAATATCTGGTAATGAACTTAGTTATTCAGTTATTTATTTATTCCGATGCAAGCCATCAGCTGTTATATATGCATATATATACAAGTCCTATGAAGTATCATTTTCTATAATATATCTTTAATGAGTCAAGAATGTAAATATAAAACTATTACAGCACAAAAGCTGCTTTTGTTTAATATGCCATCTGTGCCAGATTTTTCTCATGGCTATCAATTACTTAGACTGTTAATTTCCTTTCCATTGCCTGAAAAGTGATTGAATGTCTAGCCAAATCTACTACAACTTAGTTCACAATATTACTGGCTGAGTCTGGGTTGCTGTAGACTTGTGGATTGCTGTTATGAACAAGCCCTGCACTGTGGTATAACTATGGACTGGTAACCATAGCTACCACAGGGTACACAGAGAATACACAGCCTGATAATAAACCACAGGTTCTCTTTCTGATTTTGTCATAGTGAACAACCTACAGTTAAACTATAGGTTGCAGTTGTTCACACATAACAGCAGTCCACAATACTTGAACAATCCATAATTTAATAGCAACCCATGCACATGGTTGACATGTGTGAATCAGGACTATGTATAGCTGTCATTTGATCTATTACAGAAATACACATCTATTACATCAGTAGATTTTACATAAAATGCTAATTTTCTGTTAATACAAGTAAGAGAGTACCTGCATGTTTTCCCTCAAATCCGTTGCATCCCGTATGGGCTGAAGAGCATTCTTGAATACTTCGTCAATGGTTTTAATCCACAAAGTCCTCATACATGCATATTCTCTGGATTTCTTGCTTTTCCTGACAGAGAGACCCCGTTTATGAGGCTTTCCACCACCCCTTCGATTTGTAATAGCAACATGGATGAACAAGAAGGCATGTGCTAGAGCCTCCCCTGTTAAAGACTGAAGAGGAACATGCCGATAGCCTGTCTGTAAACACTCAAATGGAATTGTGTACTGACCAATAAATTCATCCCCGATATAATCATCATCTAGCACTACAAAGCGCACCATGGCAAGTTCAGGTAGATTAATCTGGAATTCAAAACTCTCATCAAAAATTGGATTGTCCCCATTTTGATGCACAGTTTTTGTCCTTTGCTCTGCACAGTCCGCTGGAATCCCATGGATTTCTACATAAACATAAGGATCTACAACATCACCTTTGGCACCTGACCCTTTTGGTTTTGGAAAATTCTGCCCGCTAATAATCTTTACATGGAGAAGCTGAGGTGAAACTCCAGGCACAGAGTCCTTCGTATTTGCACTAAAGAAAGATACTTCCTCCCGCATGATGGCAGGCCGCAGTACATAGCCACAGTTGCCATTTTGTCGAAACCATCCAATATTGAGGTCCATCATCAATCCAGGTGTCTGAAAGTTCATTGCCACTATCTGACAGCCACACTTCCAAAAATCCTGTGGGTTCATATTACTAGAATCAATCCTCATAGGGCTAGGGAAAACCCTAGCAAGAAAACGTTTGTTGTAATTCACAAAGTCTCCAGGGTTTTCATTAGCATACTTGGTAGCAAGCACTTCATTAAAAGAACAAACTTCCCAGTATTTCTGAAGCTGAAATGACACCTGGAAATCTTTGAACTGAACGGACTTACATATGCTTACAAGTTCTGAGAGCTCCTTACATAGCTGGAACCGTTTTACTATGACAGCATTCTGTTGCTCTACCCCCTCCTTTCCCATTCTCTGTGACATTTCTGCTCCTTCATCTTCATCTGTAACATCTCCTTCTAGCCCTGAGCAATTGGAAGAGAGTTTCTTGGCTTTAACTAGTATTTTCGATTTAAGAGATTCAGGAGAAGGCAGGTAGGAGTCCTCTATATTTGGAGACTGTGTGTGCAGCTTGTCCCCAAGTATTTTCTTCATATGCTGGACCATCACCTTCTGTTGTTTCAGAGAACAATGATTTTCTAAGCACAAAAGAACTGGGTACTCCGAAGCAAAGAATGCATATTTGTTAATAATGTCAATTACACTGCGGAAGACAATCTGTGAAGTCATTGTGTGCCCAGTGTAAATTACAGGCTCATTGTCAGGTCCATCCCACACATCCAACTCAACACTTCGACACCCCATTTTCAGGGCACGAATATATCCTGTGATATCAGATGGGCCTCGGAACTGGTCCTCTATCAAGTAGGTGTTATGTGATGAGTTTATGAAATAATGAGATAAAGGTTGGGTCATATCCTGGCAGACTTTTTTATGCTCTGGGTCAAATATATGACATTCTGGGGAAGTAAGATAATTTGTAAAACCATCTATGGAAAGCCAGCCCTTTTCCTGACCCTCTTTAGATGGCTCATATTTGTGAATAATATCAAGGCTTATCTCTTCTGTGACATGTGCCATACCCTGTTCTGCTTCTAAAAACATCATAAGGTCCTTGGTGTCAAGGAATTCTTTATTGCTAGAAAACTGAACAAACAAGAAATAGATCTCAGGGCGAGTGCAAAGCTCATGAAAAACTTCAATAAAGTCTTCCTTCGTGATTTCTGTACCAGGTTTTTCTTTTGATCTATGTAGCTCTTTGAACTTCAGTTCAATTTTACTTGTTTTTAAACCAGGATTTAATTTTTTAATAAACTGCACAGCTCTGCACAAGGATATGCGCCCCAAATTATCTATATCAGTTTCGCTAAACATTTCTGAAACCCATGAAGTCCGCATTTTATCTTGACTACTTTCTAGCATATCTAGCGTATGTTTTCCATAAGATATTAGGTATCTTAGCCCAGTAACCCAAATATTTGCAACATCTGCAGAATTTGCAACAAGATCTAGAGACTCATAATTATCTCCATAAATAATAGAAAATGCACAATCTTCTGAAATCTGGTCAGAAATTCCATTGCTACGAAAAATGTCCGTATTTTTCCCCGTTCTCACTTCTTTGATTGATTTAACATCAATCTTTGCTTTTTCAGAATCTTTCTTTGAAGGTTCCCACCGTAGAGATTGCATATCTGCATCTAAAAGGAAGTACCGATGGTATACTCTAGAGTTGGATCGAACCTTTCTCAGTTCTGAGCCTTCAACCATGGCGTTAATGCAGTCACTTGCACTACTGATCTTCTTCTCAGTAGGCATGCTGCTAAATGACACTGTCTTTTTCCGTTCTCTTTTTTGCTTTGTACCATCCTGGAAAGAAAGGAGGGGGAAGTTGTTAAGATACTTTCCCCGAGACACAAAACACTTCTGCAGATTTAAAGAGCCATGCAGGGATAACTTATCTATCCATATTGAAGTTTACATACAAAAAACCAAAACTTACATTAAAAGTAATAAATGTACATCCCAGTGCTAGCCACATTTACTTGAAAATCTGTCCAGATGAACTCATGTAGCTCATCAGTTTGAGTAGCCTCAGTTATTCATGTTTCATGGTAATTATTTCTGTTACAGTTGCAAAGCCTATATTGTTATTTTTGTTAACTGCCCATTGTCATTTTTTACACATGGTGATCAAGAAATTTGCTCAGATCCAATTGGTGGATTCAGCAATTACTGTATTACTCTGTAATAAATAGGCTAGCATAGCTGTATCTGAATTTTTTCTAGGCCTCTGATTTTTTTTTTCATATTCTATGCCCTAACATTTAGCACAAATAGTTATTTTTATTTATTTTAGAAACTTATAAAGCACGTCTTCATTCCAAATAGGTTTTCCAACCAGTGTACCTAAAATGACCCAAAAATAATGCCATACCACAAATCAATCTAAAATCTGACTATTGGAAAGTAAAACAAGAAAAACGCCCACTGTTTTCTCACAACTGCTGACAAGCTGGGAGGTATGGTTGGTGTGTTGGTTGGGAACTATCCACACTGTACTGGGGGACAAAAGATTGGTTCCCATGCATGAGGAAAGAAGAGTGGTAGCACTAGAGAAAGGCTTTGGGGCTGAGGCCTCGCCCCGCTCAGCACAATAAGCAGGACTGCCTCCTAGGCTGCCTTACTGCATTTGGAGGTAAGCACAGTGAGACACATTACCTTCTAAAGAGGGAGACCCTTTAAGGCCATTAAGTCCACAGTCTAAACTTACCTAATTGCTCCACAGTGGGCAGGAAGTCAGTGAAGGAGTTGGCATGCCAAGCTACTGAATGATAAGCAGGGCAGCAGTGCCTTCCCAGCAGCAAACCCAGGAGGAAGGGAATATGAGGCTGCTGATGTCATGACCCGAGATACTCCCCTTGTCAGGATGAGAAGCTAAACTCTGCTCAAGAGTGAAAGCCGACTTGCAAGTGAAATCCTACTTGCAATACTTGACATGGGTATGTAAGGGGATTGGAACAAGTAACATATCTGACTTGGAGAACTGCCTAAAAGAGAATTAAGTAAGAAAAGGGCAAAGGAAGGCAGATGTAATGAAACTTCCCTCAAAGCAAGGATGGAAATGAGGAGAGGAAGGAGCAACAGTAATCGTCTAGTCCATCCCATTCTGGGACCATGGGCAGTTGGAATGTTCAGGAAGGAGAGCCTTGTGAAGTAGTCCATGTAGCCTCTCACTGTAGGTATTGTGAGATTCTTAATGATGCACATATTAGTGTTCAATACTTATCAAGTGACAGGATCAGACTCACAAAACAACAGCTCCTTAGAAATGACAGACTAGACATGCCCAATGATCCTTAGCATCTTACCGCAGGGGTGGCAACATGCACCTGCAGTCCACCATGTTTTTCCAAAACAATCCCCCAAACCTCTAGAATTAACTATTCACATACTAACCATCATAAGAAATCCAAATAGGTGATCTCAGCTTTACTTCCTGATCCTGAAGACTGCTCCAGCCTTTCTCAATCTCATGCCTTTCAGACGGGCTTGACTTCAACTCTCATACTAATGTGGCCATGATAGTTGTTGCAGTCCAACACAACTGGGGCAGAACAGCTACAGAGTGGGACAGTTACTCTACCCCTTCACTAATCCTAAAAGACACTCTGGAATTTGGTTCTTACCACATAATCAGTCATCTAGTTGATTTAACTTTGCTAGAGGGATCAAATCTACCCTCAAGCACACACAGAATCAATACATGATAGCACTACTGACAATACACCTTCCTTGGAGGATTACCATACATTTTCTTACAGGACAAAGCATTGATATAGAAGTATAGTTAAAATTTCTCATGATTGGAATGTACAGATTTATTTAACCAAGAAGTCTGTCAACAGATTTAACAGAGAAGATGATACTTGACAAAATAAGAGTACAATGGTTGTAGTGTCACTTATATCAAGCTGATAGGGTGGACAAATAACACAGTATGGCTAAAGAAGGCAGCAGTATACCAAGGGCAGTAGTTCAGTCAGACTGTCTTTCTCCTGGAACGCCTGGAAAAAGATTCAGCATGGAATCCAGCAGTATGGCTGCAGCCAACTCAAAGTGAAGATGCTTAACAAACTTCTGGCTATATATTGACAGGAAACAGGGCTGCCAAACTGACCCAAAAGCATAAGCTGTTGCAGGAATTGCTTCTTGGGTTAAGATAAAGACAAGGCAGGTCTGGGCTACCCTAGTATCTAGAATCAAACAATGATAACAATAGGATCTACATGTCATGTTGTCTTTTAAAAGTGGAAGAAGGCGCACCTGCTTATATAAAACTTACTGGAATGCAAATGTCTAAAGCATCTGATGAAGTAGGTGGTTATCTGCAAAAGTCATAAAATCATTTCTGAAGTGCAGCAGTACACTTCTCTCCTAGGAGAAATCCATCAGCCTGGACGATTAATACATAATGCTGGAAATCAGAACGAAACCAAGCCAGGTGGAAGTCTTCCCACAGTCAATGAATCATCACTGCTTTACAAATAAAACTATAGCTCACTCACACATAACTATGTCTCAGGAAGCCTGACTACCTTATCAAAAATGAAAAAAAGTTTAAAAATAAATGCATCTAATTAGTAAGTTGTTTTGTTTTAAAATTTACAGTGGGGGTGTAAATGCTTGGATGATACATTAATTTCAACATTTTAAAGGCATTTATAGAATATTTAGGGGTTCTTGTTTTTCCAAGCATACTTTTCAGTCATTTGTTCAGGAGGGTATAAATGTCCTTCCTTATGGAGTTGATTCCGGGGTGTAGATTCCACACTTCCAGCAATAATATAACAGGGATCACAGCAGCTCCAGTAAGCTAAGGCCAGCAAGGACAGGATGCTCACACCAGGAATGACAAAATAATCCTATATATCCTTCCATGGCCCTTGTAATATCCCTGGAAATGACAAAATACTGTCGCAGCTTGCAACACTGTGCTCACACAATAGCCCGTGGTATACACTGTCTTAAGAGGTAAGACTTGTCCTGAGGTTTTTCACCAAAGACCAGAGAAATTCCATGCCCAGAAAAGTTTGTAAGATAACCAGGCAAAGGTTATTAAAATTGCAATACTCACAGATAAAAATAATAAGCTGTTAGCTGCAATTTTTATAAACATATATCATGCATAATTTGAAATGAAATTTAAAATTAAAGCAATCAGACAAGGCACCTGAACCATTTTCTTCCTATGCAATAAAGCACTGGAAAGGGTATAAACTACAGAGAGATCTATTAGAAAATAATTCACACCGACTTTGTTGTTTTAAGTACATGCCCTTTTTATTTATATTAAAACATCTGTGACAATGTAAGTGAAGTGCCACTTTCAGTTTGTGGCTTTTAAATTAACTTACTTCCCTAAAACAAACCGGGTATGCATATTTTTATTATGTACCAGGCCACTCTTGGTGCCCCTACTGAAGGCAGCAAACACATCTTTAACTACTATTTAATCAGGAGTATCATCATTGTAAATTATATTGGAATATCCCTGAGTATGTTTATCAGGAACAATTGCTTATATTTCTTTTATCCTTAGAATCAAAACCTTACTGCTTAGCAAAACTCTCACATAATACAAATATCCTTTGGGCAAAAATACTACAGAACTGTATGCTAACTGAATGTTCAACTACTGCCCCATAAGCTTAGAGAGGTTTTAACTTTATGGTGCATGTTACAAGACATGACTGGGATTCAAGGAGCTGTTCTGGCTCACAAAAATAACTTCTACCATTTGTCCAGTGTAAGCTTTGAGTTTTTTCTTGGAACAGCTAGCACTACACCATAGCACAAATGGCTTATGAATCTTCCCCACTTCCATTTCAAAAGCAGTTTGCAATGTAGCATGGGGGTAACGCTATTCAGTAAAAGCAAGCCTAAGTAACCCATGGTACCATGGAGCTAGTTTCAATATTCTTTGAATCTTAGCCTATTTTAAACCATCCAGTTCATGTGTGGTACACCAGTGTGGTGTAGTGGTTAAGAGCATGGGATTGGGGCTCAGAGGATCTGGGTTCTAGTCCCCAGTCAGCCATGGAGCCAACTGGGTGGCTTTGGGTCAGTCACAAACTCTCAGCCCAGCCTACCTCACAGGGTTGTTGTTGTGGGGATAAGACGGAAGAGAAGAGTTGATGTAAGCTGCCTTGAGCCCTTTGTAGGAAAAGAACTGCATTAACATTTTCCTAAATTGGGTCTTTTTTTTACAGTCTCCTGCCATTATAGGTTTTCTCCCCCAAGGAAAGAATAATGGGATAAAGATCAAGCTATACAAAAAAAATATCCAAAGACTTTGGAATATTCAGCTCAAAAGGTTTCATTTTCATTTTGCTGCTTGCCCTCCCTCTTCACACTTAGCTCCTTGTGTATCTCTATCCCACTCCCAACAATCCTCTTCTATTCACTGAAGTTTTCGAAACTTAGCAATTAAGACATAAGGGGTTGATTCTGTGAATATAAATTTACAAAGAAACAATGGGATTAAGGTCTTTTTCTCAACTCTGTATGTTTATTTTATAGAATTTTTGCTGTGAAAAAGACACATGTGACCTCTATAGACACAAATACACAGTTTTGAGAACTGTAAAACCAAGCACCTGTGATAATATCTTCTAGATAGGAAGAAAATGCCTAATAATCTTACAGAAACCTCTGGAAGAGCATGACATTGTGAATGGATTAGTGGAATTTATCCTTATTTCATGAAAAATAACCTTTGGACTATAATGTATCTTAGGAAAAAAAACTATCTTTAGATAGATTTTTCCCCAAAAAGCATTTTATTTTAAAAAATTAATTTAAATTTT